GGGGTGGGTTTTTTTGTTTGTTTGGATGTTTGGGGGGCTTGCTTATTTATTTATTTATTTGTCCTCTCAAATTGAGTTAACCAAGCAGTCAAACTGCTTCTGGGTTTGCTAGTGCAGTTTCATTTAATAAACCGGGGTGGAATCATGTCAGCCAGTGAAGCAGTATCTTCCAAAATGGTTCTGTGCTGGAAAGGCAGCTGTGAGATCAATGCAATCAAACTGAGACCTGCTGACTATGGAAATTTGGACCATGAAAAGGTTGGGAGGAGTTCAGAAACTTCAACAGTTATAGTCACCATGAAACTAATACTGTTCATTATTCATGTGCAGTACTCGCATGAGAACACTGCAAGATATCAAGCAAATGAAAGGATAAAAGTAGCCTTGAATAGTTGGATGTCAAATATGTGTTATGACACACAGATAAGTTTATTTAACTAAAAATGAATGCAAACACATGTTTTTATTATCGTAACACTAGTGTTACAAAGTAAATACGATTTAAGTTTTGTGTATGTGTGTTTATGTGTAGGTGTCTGTAGAGGATCGCCTTAAACAGTTACAGGAGGCACACCGAGATTTTGGGCCTGCATCACAGCACTTTCTTTCCAGTAAGTTCTTTGAATTTATAGATGCATATGAAGTCTTTCTCAAACACTGACTGCTCCTTACTCCAGGTTTCCCTATGGCTTGAAGAACAGGAAGTTCCTCTTCCATGTTCCTCTACCTCCCTGTTTTTGTAGGTGTGCTTCATCTTCATAACTCCACTGACATTCTCACTGGTGTGCTTCCCCAGGGATCACTGTAATACCTTGCTGAGTTATGGTGTGCCCCTAGTTGCTTTATTCTTTGTCCTCTCTTTGCTGCAAGGTCTGACCTGTGGCTGTTGCATAATCATGGTGTGTTCATAACCATATATTCTCATCCTCTGCTACCTCAGTTTCCTTTCCTGCCCACACTTGCTGGGGACACAAAGGAAGAACTGCCTGGATTTTTCTTTTTTTAATAAAGTCTTCATGTCATACGTTCCTGGAACTTCAAATAAAGGGGTGGGCAAAGCAAACCTGCATCAATTCTTGAAACCCATCCTTGCATCTTGTTCTGTTTAGTGAAAAGTTTAGAGATGTAAGCCTACAATCTGCCATATACTGAAAGCAGATGCTTCTCATTTGACTTCGCCGTTACAGACAGGTTGTGATACCAAGATCCATGTTGATTTTCTGATATTCTAGCCTATCTGCCATCATCAAAAGTCATGATACGAAGTGTTAACCCAATCAGCATTCTGGTTTTTATGAGGGCTTCAATAATAAAGACTAAATTATTGCAGGAATTGAGAAGTAAACATAAAAATTAGCAGCTCTATCCCTGAGATTGTGCTGTGTGTCACTGTATAGCTGAACAGCTAATATAATCTGCAACAATAAATAAATCTTGATTTCTTCTTGAGTTACATCACAACCATGTTCTTATTTTAAATTGGCAACTAGTTTTTCAGTAAACATCATGGTAAACAAGATACAACATATTTAAAATACTATAGCTCCTATGCCAAATAATGATTCCTGGAGCCACTTTGTCCTCTTTTAAAATTAACAGAACAAGCAAACAACTTCAAAAAATATATTATTTCATATGTTTTTTTTTTAAACCCCATTAACATATTGCATAAGTTTGCCACAGTGGTTTTGTAGCCTTTCCAATCTTAAACTTGTAACCTTGACCTGGGGAGTGCACCTATGCAATAATATGCTAAAAAGAATATAGACAGAGTGGTACCATTTGCACTGTCAAAAAATGCCAGATTAACTGTTTGGGAGAGTAGTCCATCTAGTCTGTGCAATTAAAACAGACTAGGAAGCAGCACTCAGAAGATGCATTTTCCCCTACTCCAGCTCGTTTGAGAAGTTCCTGACTGTACTCCTGTGTCACTGTTAGGGCTGTTCACCTCTCCTCACCTGAACCAACACAAATGTTCAGGTGACTGCTGTGGCAGAGGGGGGAAGTCAGTGAAAGAGTCCACATCTAACACAAGGTGGGCAGGCTTTGTTTGCCTTGACCTGAATAATTTCCTTGGTTTGGCTTACAGCATGCCACAACAAATAATTGCATTCACAAGACTGAGTGAGTGGTGAACTGGCTTTGTTGCTGGATAAAACATTCACGGGGTTATGTCCAAAGAGACCATGCAGTACCTTATCAGCATGCCTCAGCCTTGCTTAGGGCATCTTCTCCAAGCTTAAGGGGATGTTTGGTTTGCGTTACATACAACAGTCAAGAAAGGAAAGTTTCCAGAAAGCTGTTGATAGATACCACAAAGAGCTATAGCCAAGCACCACAGTCCTTCAAAAACAAATAATATGCAGTTATGCATTTAAATTATTTGTTAAAATCTGATAACCTTCTTCCACACACAAACTACAACAAAAACCTCTTAAAAAAAAAAAGTTTCAAGAGCTTGAACTAGAGAGAGTTGCATAACTTAATCCCTACAACTTTATATGAAGTTTGTTAAATGAAAGTTATGGCCAGTAACTTCAAAAGGAAACTAATAAAAAAATCATTAAATCTGGAAAAATGAAGGTTTTATCCTGACAGGTTGAAATAGTGCATACTCTAAATGAAATTTTTCAAACCTTTTTAGCAGCCATAAATGACTGCTAACTGTGAGGGACAAGTAGAGTGGTAGTCTGAATGAAATAATCTCAAACTCCTAAAACTGAGATTATGATGTGTATCTCATGCAAATCTTTATCTCCAAAGTTGCTGGTCTTATTTGACAGCAGCTATTTTATATTTACCTCACCTACCTGTTACTTTTCCTCCAACTCCTCACAAGAGAGCGCAGTACTGTCACACCATCTTCAGCTGACTAGCTCCCAGCTGACATCTAATCAGTAATTTGAGCTAACAAAACACCTGTTTCTACTTGTTCATCAGATTCCTGGAATGATAGAATAGGCCAGGTTGGAAGGGACCTCAAAAGATCATCTGGCCCAACTTTTCATGGGAAAAGGATCCTAGATGAGATTATCTAGCACCCTGATTCCATCCCCTCCCCAGGTATTAGCACCTAAGTGTAGGCATTCTGCCATGAAGTTTTGGCATATGCATCCAGTATAAATTCATTCCACTGTGATGGTCAGTTATTCCTACCTGTGCTTTCAATGTCTGCTGCTACAGCAAATCTAGTGACGTGAGTTTCTTCTATGATAAAACCTAATTAACCAGACACTACTCTGGTTATTTCTGGTGGGACATGTATGTGTCTATGGTTCTTCATCAAGTAGCCACTTGTAAGTTTTCCACCAGCAGTCCTGTTGGCCTGAACACTTCTTCCCCATTTATCTCCTGGGAACTTTAGATAAGCAGAGTTGTAGTGTCATGTATGATTTCATGCCTTTTGCAACTCACTGTGCAGAAGGTTTCTTGGTGTTATGGATGGTATCAGTTGATGTATCAGACTTGCATAAATTCTGCAAAGATCACTGCTGTTCAGCAAGGAGTGCAAAGACAGGTTTAAATGCCTTGTTTTTGTTGGTCATACAGTGTTAATATTGAGTTACAAAGAGGAGCTAAGGGTTGCAACTAATAACAATAAGGTTGATATTTCTCCTGTTTGTTCTGTTGCAGAGCATTAATTATAGTAGTGGGAGCATTTATTTTCAAAGCTTAAACTGGTAATAATTCTATGGAGGTAGGAAAACCAGTGTCTCCATTTTCCCTGGATGGATAGCTTGCTTGCTCAGAATTTATTATCCTTCTTTGAAGCAGGATCATCACATTTGTTTCATTTCCAGCTTGGCATCAAATAGATGCCTAGAATCATCTTGATAGATTGCCGTCATTTTCTCCAACCGATTTTCTAATTACTGAATGTTGTCTGGGAAATTTTAATTGTATCCATGTAATTTATTATAACTGTTTTAATTGAATAAATAAATAAATAAAGCTGGAATTTTTTAATTTGACAGGTACTTTCTAATAATTGCCCTCTCTTTATTTCCTCAGCCTCAGTACAGTTTCCATGGCAGAGATCTGTTTCACATAACAAAGTGCCCTATTATATCAAGTAAGTTTGCTTTGATTCTTTTTTCCTTAAGCGTAACAGAGGGTCTTACCACCATAACCTGGCCAAAAAGCATAGGTCCTAAGTAGTAACTAGACATGTTATCAAGAGTTTCTCTACATAGTGTTATGCTGCATATACTATATATTTTCATGTTTATTCTCTTCACACTGTATAATTTAGAAATATGTAACCTATAGCAGAACAGTGGTGACTAATATCTGTAGAGCCCATTCATTGTTTTGTGCAAATTCCTTCAGAAATAGACATGTGTTTATTGTTCTTCTGTCATTTTCTTTATGGAAGTTTTTACAGTGCTAGATAGAAAGGTAAATGTAAGATTAATAAATATTGACAAAAATTGTACAAATACCTTGGTTATCAAGAAGAATGGTTAGGATATTTATTCTGAAAAATAGTAAGAAATTCTTAGTTGTGGAGGTATGGAGATTCTGATGTGTTCTGCCCAGAGCAATCGTTAACTTGGGTTTTCTCATTCCATCAGCATTTATTTATGTACTGTTTGCCAATATTTTAAAGGTCAAAGCTTAGAGCTCTGAGAGAAGGATAGCATTTTGCCAGCAAGGTAAATGAAATTTTAAGAAGATACAGTAAGGCAGACCCAGAGTAGTTCGTTTTAAGCTGAAGGAAATTTGTCTTAACATGTTATCAGTTTGAGTTTGAAAAAAAAGTGGGTTTTTAATGTCTGTAGGATGAATATGAATTGGACCTGCAGATAATGAATTCTAAAAGAACATCAGTGAGGACTTTGTACTGTTGCATATTGCTCTGTCATAAATCTGAGAGCCACAGTTTGTGCTTCAAACAATTTATGAGTGCTTGAGAGATTTGAAAAGCAGGTAACGGTAAATCTATGTCAATCAAAGCCATTGTCATCATTATGAGGCGTGATGGTTGGTTTCAAACTGCTATATGGAGATTCACTTTTTTTAAAGGGTCTGAGTAGGTAACTAGAAAAAGGAAAAACCTACTGTGAAGACCCTTGAATTCTCTATAAAAGCATTTGTGACTTTTCTGAAAAGTTTTGCAGGAACTAAGAGAAAGCTGTGACCAGCTGTGAAAGCTGGAGGAGAGGTACCACCTTCAGTCCCGACTTCAAGAGGAGAGGTGAGGGGTTGGATGTGGAGGCACACTGCTCAGACTCAGGCAACAGTGTAATTAAAATGATTGCACACCTACAGCAGTGAATCAGAGAAAACACTGAAGTATCACACTGCAGAGATGAAGAGGAAAACTACCCTGAAACAGTCTTTTTTCTTTTTCTTGTGGGTATGGCCTCAGTGGGCGTTGAAAGATGGGAATTCATGTTCCCGCTCTACCTGATCAGAGCTGGTAGCTGAAGTTGGGAGTGTTTAACCCGCTGCAAGGTGGCCTGCAGCGGGGTCTGTGGAGCCCCTAAGTACATTGAGTTGGAGGGTAGAAATAGGATGGATAGCCCTACCGTCACAACAGGTGGAACAGGCTAAGATTAAAGCTTCTGATCTGTGCTGAGCAAAGCAAAGATTTTTAACCTGAGTATTTCTTATGCATGTCCTTTGTTCATACTTCATAACAGGATTTTTTGGAGTTTCTGGGCATCTCCCTTGCCCCCCCTCAGCCAGAGTTCATTTTTTGAGAAATCTTTTTTTATCATGACTAGTTCAGAAGAAAGTCCTTCCAATCATAGAATCATAGAATCATAGAATCACTGGGTTGGAAAAGACCTTAGAGATCATCCAGTCCAACCGTATGTGCCCGCCACTAAACCATATCTTTCAGCACCTCATCCCCCCGTCTCTTAAACACATCCAGGGATGGTGACTCCACCACCTCCCTGGGCAGCCTGTTCCCGTGTGTGATAACCCTTTCGGTGAAGAACTTCTTCCTTACATCCAATCTAAACCTCCCCTGGCGCAGCTTGAGACCATTCCCCTTCGTCCGATCATCTGTCATTAGGGAGAAGAGACCAACACCCACTTCTCCACAACCTCCTTTCAGGTAGTTGTAGGCAGTGATCAGGTCTCCTCTCAGCCTCCTCTTCTCCAGGCTAAACAAGCCCAGTTCCCTCAGTCACTCAGTTCCCTCAATGTATGCACTGGGTGCAATCCTGCAAGGATAGAACTTGGTGACAAAGTATCCACTGATGCTGTGGGCTTGCTCTGCTGGTAGTGTGTTGGCTGCCCTGGAGCTAGACTGGGGAATGAAGCCAGTCAGGGTTGACAAACAATCCCCAGTATCTCTCAGAAATTGTTTTAATGGTCTTGCACAGTTGGATAAAATGGCAGAATTTTAGAGCAAGTTCTCTGAGGGTCGAGATCTTTATAGAAGCAGAGACCACTGGTTTATTTTGAGGATGGCTTTAATGAAGTCAACAGAATTAAATGCTGCACCTCAAAGAAGAACTTTCCAGTAATCCTTCCCTGCCTTCAACATTACACATGCTGCTGAAGCTGTGTCTTGAAAGAGAAGAATGATGTGGCATGTAACCGGTAGGATTTATTTACTTTAAAAAGGTTGAGGAGGAATACTGAATTTCACTAGCTCCACAGTCTGACAAGCAGACTGACCTTGGCAGTTTCCTTCATTTCTTATTGCTTACTGATCTAAACTTCAGTGTTGGCAGCTGCAGCTAGATAAAACAGAGAGTTGTGGAAAATAAAGCAGAAAAGGTCTGATTCTGAACTTCATTGGCTTTGATATGATCAGGCTGGAGAGTACTCTTAGCTTTAAATATTTTTTTAAATCCTCATCTGTTCCCTAATTTCAGATATAGTTTAAAGAAGAGAGGAAAACAATGCTGACACAAAAACTTAGTTGATTCTTGTGATTACATGAGCTTTTGTGATGCAATTCAAGAGAAGAGTCAACAGGATTTAATAGTTGTTGTTTATATAGAAAGAACTTCTGGGGGAGAGGCAAAGATTAACTTAATTTCCTTTTTGTTTAATTGTACTAACCTCTTAGAATGAGGTGTCATTGTTGTAAAACACAACATAAGTAGAAGGAACAGTTATGGCGAGTCTCAATAATTATGTAATTTGAGAGCAATTATATTTACTGTTTTTACAGCAAGTCATGTATCTTCAGAGAAGAGGTATAAGGTACAAGTTGTTCATTTTATAGTATAAGAAAGAAAACCAGCAGAACAAGGAGAATAAAAGTATCATTCAATGATTGGTGGCTGAAAAATGAGATTTTTTTTTTAAATTATCTTTGAAAGGGAAATAAATACTAATTGAAATCAGGCTACCTTAATTCTGAATAAGAACATACACTCTTCTTTGTCAACCATAAAATCATACCTTTGCCTCATTTCAATTGCTTTTTGTGAGTGTCCTTGAATGAGAAATGTAAAATATTCAGAAAGTGACATAGCTGCAGATGATGATGTAGTTGTACCTCTGTAGAGTATTTAAAAAAAAAAAACAACCAAATACTGCACTCTGCAGTTTTATTGCACATGGAGAGTGGAGTTTTAAAAAAAATAGGGAACTGCAGCTGAGAAGGTAGGAGGCAGCACTTTAGGTAGCAATGAATCTGTAAGAAGAATGTCAAAATGATGCAAGATGTCTGTATTTTCAGATGAGCAGCATTTATTCTGTTTCCTGATGCCAGAGGTAACTTGAATTTATATACACAGAGAGCTGTGTCGAAGAGGTCCTTAGTGCGGCAGCACACCATGGTGGCTCTGTAGTCCAGTTTGTTCTTCCCACCCCGTTTGCTAACGGTTGGCATGTCTGTCCTTTCTGGGGTTCTGTTTAATCAGGTGATGGAAGCACATGAAAGATTAAAATGCCAGCGTACAAACTTCTCTGCCCTGTAAGTTCAGGCAGAGGCAGTCTGGGTTTGGAGCATTTTGGAAAGGAGTGACTATTTTAGCTTGGCTGGAAGAAGGATTTATAATTAATTAAGCCCAGGTTTATCACAGTGTGTGTGCCCTGAGCTATAGCGGATATTTGGTTGAACTGAATCTACACGCATGATTGAGCCTGTCTCTTTTCTCCTCTTGAATTGACTATCAACAAAATTTGCCAAACGGCTTTGCCTCTGTTGATGTTGTTTTATTGAGTCCTTTTAGCCTTCTGTTTAATTTTTTTTCTTAGTAACAATTAATAGAAGATTTTGTATTCCTGTAGTCTGTGCCTTCTCTGTTGCAGTAGAATTCAATCAATGAAAACCTGAATCTGTAAAATCTTAATGCTGATATAATAAAAAGCTTAGCCTTTCATACTTTATAGAAGAGAATGGGACTAATGAGCGGTGTGGTGGGGAATACAGCACAGCAGGCACAGTATTTACTACTGCACTTTTGGTAATAAAAGTGGGAAGTCTGGACTGAAGGTGTGGCCAACTTGCCATTGAATATCTATTTCATAGGTTGTTTTGCAAAGGATTGAGGTTTCATAAGGAGAGTTTTCTGCTGTTATTCATGTATAACTATTTGAATCGCACAAATAAGACATCCTCTATAAGAGAAAATGAAAAAAATAAAGCCTTTATTACGTAGCACTTCAATAAAAATAATCTAAAGAGAAACAGAAGAATAAAGGTGATTCTATGTATGATCATTAAACATCTTTTAGGAAAACACAGTGAACTGAAAGGAATGTGCAGAAAACGTAATTCCGTGTCATTTCTAACTGTTGTTTGTTTAACTGTAAGTTGTGTTCTTAATCTGTGTACCTCTCAATGCTATAAATTATTAGATATCTGTACTGTGGAGAAAAACCAAGAGAGTGATACAGAAGGGGTCACAGTGAGTTTAATCCCATGTAGGGCATAACATAGGGAGAGCAGTTTCTTGATGTAACTGTTAAATTGTTCAATATCAGACTTCATAGACACCCTGGTTACTTTTCTACAATTCTGCAAAGAGACTGGCATCATCAACATATTAAAAATCTCATTTTATCACCCCCTATACCATGCTCAACCTTATGGGGGGTGGGAATAAAATGCTTTCTGCTTCTCCATTGTTTTCAAGACTCATCAGGAAGTCTTTC